CAGCAACGCAGGGAGTGCTGCCATTCGCAGAACTAGGGGTGGACAGATGGGGGGAGCTTTTGCAGGACCTGCAGCACGCAGAGCAGGCATCGGGGTCCCCCCTGTCACAGAGCCTGGCTGCCAGACTGGGGCACGCTGTCCTGACGCTGCTTGGCCGGAGCGGCTGGAATCAGAGAATCGTCTAGGTTGGAAGGGACCTTTAAGATCATCGAGTCCAACCATTAACCACGGAGGTTGTGTCCCTCAGGTAGGTTGAAGACGCGGCAGCCCAGGAGGTCAGGACAGGTGGGTACCACCACCATCGGAGTACAGGGAGTAGCTTTTCGTCCATCAGCAGGTGCTGGTGGAGGAGAGCGGATGTCTGGCACTTTAAAAGACCATCTCAGATGTTGATGTTGCCAAGTGACAAGCAGATACCGACATGTTTCAATCCCTAGACCTGAGGGATGGTGGCACAGGGGAGATGAGAAAGAATTTAATAAAGCAGGAAGCAAAGGAGAGCCAAGAGCACCAGGACAGCGTGTGCCCACAACAGCAATTCCCCCGGCACGCGTGGAGAACACAAAGCCTGCAGTGGGTGCCCGTGTCCCGTCACAGCCGGGGCCAGAAGCACGGCAAGGACGGAAGAGGAAAGCACTGCTGCGCTCAGATAGGAAGCAAAGGACCGAGCTGGGGGAAGGAAAGAGAAAGTACCAAAGCACAGCCTCGAAAGAAAAAAATGACTGCCTGTAGTTGGCGTTCCTGAAGCAAGAGTACGCCAGCGAGTGGAGGAAGACGGTGTTTGTGTGAAGGAATACTGCAAACCCCGAGCAGGGAAGACAGGTTCATGCACACACGTGCACAGATGAACACATAAGCGCAGACTCACTGGCACTTCTTACAGTTATTTAAATTTATATAAAAAGATATAACCAGCATTAATAATAGAAAGAGCTGGAGTTATGGTGCAGCCTGAGAAGTGTTAACTGTATTTCACGTTCCGCTGCTGGCTACCTCCACTCAGCTCTTCTGAGTTTGAAATGCTGTCAAGGTATTCGGGCAGGGGAAGAGCAGTTAGAAGACCTCTATTTGATACTCAACATGAGTTGTGGGATTTGGGGTATTTCTCTTAACTGTTCTGTGCTTTAGCAACCCTGTCTGCATAGCGGCACCTTTCAAAGACGGAAAAGGACTGGAGATATTTGCATGTAATGCACTGAACAGGTGAAATGTCTCACTGACTACCTCGAGAATAAAGCATGGCATTATACTCCCAAGCTGTTAAACAGGAATTATTTAAACTCTGCAGGTGATCACAAAGATCCTGAAAAAGATACAGTTATCTAGGAATAAAAACTGTCTCACCTCGTGAAATACTGCAGCAATGCCTATTCTTATTTGTGAATGAATAGGCAGCGCTGATTTATAGTAATTGATCTCAGTGCTTGGCAGGTAGTAAAACCTTACGCAAATTACAGCTGCCACCCTAAAACTGCATTTGCGTAACTTCTTTGTAAGTCAGGCTTAAGCCTTTTTACCATAATAATAAAAGTTGTCAATATTTAAAAAGACATGAAAAATAACCATGCAGACACGTTTCCTTCCACTTAGCTTTTCAACACCGACATATATTTGGTGCTTTGGGTGACTGTAAGGAACGGCACCACAAGGTTTGGAACTGGGGGAGATGACAGAAAAATCGGAGTCTGACCTTCAACTCTTACGGCACACCACAGAGCAAGGGAGCGATGGCACGCGTGAGGCTGCAGCTGTTAAGTACCTTCTACGTTCCCCATGAGGATTCTAAGATCAATACAACATTTATTGGGATCCAGCGAACAGGGACAACTGCCTGTGACAGCTTAGTCCTACAAGGACATGGGTATCTGCTCCTTTATTAAGAGCACTGCCAGAGGGAATCTCACTATGAACTCACCCAAACTATGTAAGATTCCAGCCATATTAGATGAAAACACTGCTCATTTAGCGAGGGAGCTTTAGGTAGATTTTGTAAGCGGTCAGAAGAAAAGGCGGATCTTCAGGATCTCAGATGAGCCCTTGAACGCTCAGGAGGCCGTGTTCCACCGATTCCGAGCACGCCCGGCACTGCAGTGCCGTTGATTTGCCCTGTCTCCTGCCTCTCTCTCTCAAGACCTACACCCTGCCCTTGGTCTGCTTCGTGGCACCTCTGGAGTAACAGCAGGGTGAGTTGAAGTCCTCAGGCTGGGGATTCCCAGAAGAACTATGGGAACTATTGGGCTCCCAAATTTCCCTTAAAGCCGACAGGAGTAGGTTGCTTCGCTCCCAGACTGCCTTGAAAATCCTAGCCATAATCCCAGCCGCTTCTGTAACCTGCCCCAGTGAGATTCCAGTCCTGCACGAAGGTCTCCATCCTACACCGCAGCTGGACAATTCCAACGACAAACACCTTCAACAATCAAGTTGATCGCCTCTCTTAGCTCTGGTGGAGAAATCGGCTGTTTATCCTTTCGCTCTAGATAGTATTTGTCTTTCTGTGTCCTGCGAAAGCTGCAGTTGGCCTTTCAGCCATCGTAGCACAGGGAGCGGGAGTCAGCCCGAGGCTACAGAAATAGGTGCTGGTGCCTTCCGTGACACGAGTGCCTCACGCCTGCTCTCCTGCCACAGAGCCTTGTACTCCAGTAGTCTCCTCCCAAATGAAAACTGCCCAACAAGTACAGCATTAGAAGAGAGTAATTCAAAATCATAATTAATATCTTCCCAGTCTAAAGAAAGCCTAAGGCAGCTATTAAATTGGGGTTAAGCATATTTCAGGCAGGCATCCTTAAGTAACTCACAACTTGCTTGATCTCTGAATACCAGAAGGGCAGGGCGCATTATTTTCTCCAACCAAAGTCCTTTTTTAAAAAAATCTGTGACACTAAAGAGCCCTGGGCAACTTTCAAGATTAATTGCAATCATTCCGGGTCCTCGCCATTCCTCCCGGACATCCCTCTTACGTAAGAAAAAGAGCGAACGTGCAGCGGAGTCGCCTGAGACAGCCTCGCCGGCATCTCAGACCCTGCTGATGCTGTCTCAGCGCCGGCGTTCAGAGCAGGCTGGGCTGCTGATTTCCTTCTCCTTCTCCACATTCCCCATGTCACCCGCTCCGCACAAAGCAGTCTCTTCCACTCATTCCTTTGTTCTTGCCAGATAATTTCTAAAATAAGATCATTTCTCCCTAGGTGCCTAGAACATTGAAGAAAATATAGAGTAAGCCAAATTGTACATATTTATTCTCTTGAGATATTTCTCATTTCTTTGGTCCGTTCAGCCTTCTCTGTATCTGTCTCTTCATGTATACTTCAGAGGGCTACGGAGCAACTACATCATTTTTGGGACCTTGCATTCAAGAGTAAATATTTATGTATATATAAATATATGTATACAAAATTAAATATATATAAATAAATATGTACAGATACACACACCAGTGTCTATGGGATGAATAGATGAGAAATGACAGTTTGAAAAAAGAAAAAGCCCACAGCACCCAGCAGCTGTGTCACACACACAGCAGTACTAAGCTGGAAGAGCACATCAAAGTTCTGTTCCTCAGGTGATGGGACTAGTGAAGATCCCAGTCACATCAGTGGAAAACTGTAGCACCTTCAACATAACACCAGCAGTGCCACTTAGGGCTTTACATGGAAGCTACTATATTTTATAAATGGCGATCTGTGTTCTCTGAAACTCAGTACGTCAAAATCCACAGAAGGGTGCAAGGGAAAGAAATTACCCCAGTATATCTAGATTTATTTTCCTCATTAAATTTCCCAGGCCTTATATTTTCAACAGTGAATGTTCTCTGATTGCCAGCTTTTGGGGCAGGGTCTTGTTCTGCTCTGCACTAGGATAATGGTGGCGTGATAAAGGGACATCTCCAGTCAGACCAAGGCCAACAACTGCAGCAGTAATAGAAAGGAATACTGCTAATAAAATAACAAAACATACACACCAGAAAGGAATCACAGAATGGTTTAGGTTGGAAGGGACCTTGAAGATAACCTCATTCCAACCCCCCTGCCCTGGGCAGGGCCACCTCCCACCAGCCCAGGTTGCTCCAAGCCCCGTCCAACCTGGCCCTGAACACCTCCAGGGATGGGGCAGCCACAGCTTCTTGGGGCAACCTGCCCCAGGGGCTCACCGCCCTCAGAGGAGAGAATTTCTTCCTGATATCTAAGCTAAATCTCCCCTCTTCCAGTTCGAAGCCATTCCCTCTCGTCCTATCACTCCACGCCCTTGTAAAAAGTCCCTCCCCAGCTCTCCTGTAGCCCCTTTAGGGACTGGAAGGGGCTCTAAGGTCTCTCTGACGCCTTCTCTTCTCCAGGCTGAACAACCCCAACTCTCTCAGCCTGTCCTCACAGGAGAGGTGCCCCAGCCCTCGGATCATCTTTGCGGCCCTCCTGTGACCCACTCCAACAGGTCCATGTCTTTCCTATCTTGGGGGCTCCAGAGCTGGATGCAGTACTCCAGGTGGGGTCTCACCAGAGAATACTAATAAAAAACCCAAAACATACACACCCATCATGCCATGGATTTTGCACCATCATTTGTTATCATACAAAGCAGGTTCAAAAGATGAGCAGGTCAGAACAGCTGCCTGTTGCTACCCATAAACAGGTATTTGGCTTACGAGACCAGATTAACGGTGAAAGGCACACACACAAGACTTCTAATCTAATTTCTAATGAACCTATGTCCACATCACAGAAGCAACCACTCTCCCTTTACAGAACTCTCCATAAGCTTCTCAAATGCCCTAGGCTAAATAATTTAGAAGCTCACTTCTCTGCCCAAGTGGTCCTTCCAGGTTTGGACTGCAGCCCACGGGTAACACGAGCATGTAAAAAAACTGCATTGCACCGCACCGCTTCCCATTCCGCTGATAAATACCGGCCGCCTTCCCTAGCATGGCTTAACTTGGCATTTTAGATAAGCAGTTAGTAAACAAAAACAAACACAGGCACAAACCCCTGCCAAAACCTGCTGTGAGCACTTACAAATCCAATCAGATAAGGACTGCCAGCATCTCCCAGGAGGTGTGAAGTGAAACTCTGCAAGGCCACGGCGGTTGCACGGCGTGTTGGAATGACCACGTACTGCAAAGAAGAAGGGGAAAGAAAAAAAAAAATACATAAGGAGACTGAACTAAAGAACCCGTCCAGCTGTCTTGCATCGCTCAGTTTATGCCCAGGTCAGGGCGAAGTAAAGAAGGTGCCCCAGCCGTCGGTGGCAGACACAGCCACTCTCCAGCCCACGGGTGGCTCAAGCAACTGGGGAGCTCTGGTGCCCTTCCCGGCTTTCCAGTGCTCCCGATGGCAGGTGTGGAGGGAGGTGTTCCTCTCAGCAGCACTGAATACCTGAGTTTGACTAAAAACTTCCCCCCCGAGACACTGCTCTTGATCCTCAGCCTGTGTTTCGCTTGGCTGAAGGGGAGAGCGAAGTCGGAGGTTGCCTGCAGCACACAGCTCGCTCAGCACCACCGGCCTTCAAACAAGGGCTTGGCTGTCACCTGGGGTACCGTGGGTTTTCCACAATAAACATATCATTTTGTTTCCTAAACCGTAAGCAATTCACAGTAGTATGAAAGGTCACGCGTCCTCCCCTCCCACTCCATCTCCAGCAACTTTACTTTTTTGTCAAAAATTTGCCATTCCACTTGTGAAACGTAACAAAGACAGATTAGGAAATTTTCCACAGCCAAGATATTGTAGTTTGGTCTCCACTCCCCTCATAGGACACTACACCCTCAGCCAGGTCATGCTGAATCACTTTGACTACACAGGATCAGTAGAAAACACAAATCATTCCCCCGTTCAGGGACCAGAGCTCAGAGAAAACAGAGCCCTAACCATGGAAGGGAATGAAAGATTAAAAAAGAAAAAAAACCAACAAATCCCCATCCTGTGGAATGACCTAAATTTTATGACACACATTTAGGAGCAGAAAAAAAGTAATTGTTTCCTGCATAAAACTTGTGAAAGAAGCTGGCGAAGAACATCTGCTTCAAGTCCACACAGCCTGGTTTAGCAATTGACCCTGTCTTGATTTAAAGGCTGTAAGTAATGAAGAATTCAATAGGTCTCTAAATCCAAGTGAGCTTTGTTTCCACTTCTAAGCACTGAATCCCATTCTGCCTTTTTCTGTTTCTCTGACGCGCTATCTACCCTGCCAGAAGTGACTCCCTCCTTTCGCCGGTTGTAGACCCCGATCCCGTTTACTTCTCCCCTTCCTCGCTGATGGCCTTTGGCCTTTCCCTAGCAGGGATGCCTTCCCAGGCACCAACTCATTCTTGCGATCCTTTCCCGAAGCCATTTGTTAATTAAATGTGACATTTCCGGACTGGCGTATCCCCAGCTAGAGACACACAGCGATGAATTTACCTTAACTGACTGAGAACTCTTTGCTCAACAGCGCCGTATCCCAGGGCACGGGAGCTGAAGCGCTGTTTCAGGGCTTTGACTCTGCCCCTTAGGACAGGGGAGCTGCGCGGTCCACAGTGGGAAGAGTTAGCCATTAAAAAAGGAAAGAAAAGAAAAAGCACTGAGATGATCCACGCTAGAAGAGAACTGATGCCTATTTAGAATGACCACAGCACTCCAAGCAGAGACAATTAGGAACGAGGGGTAAAATTAGATTAAATGCTTTTCCTTAGGGTTTTAACATGTGCTTTGAGAATGACCTGCCAGTTCTTTCATTACTGGTTTGACGAAGCCGCAAATGCACACTGCTAATGCACTTTGATGCCACATATTAATCGGGTACCCCGTTAAACTCCTGTTGTGCAACAGAAGAGCAAAAGATGATCAGATCCACAGCAGCCACCTGGCAGACCCCGTCCTCCTTTTGCATCCAGGAGCTCAAAACAAGACTTGAAGGCTCACAGAAATCCCAAGAGGGAAATAAGGTCTAGACTTTATTAGAGACGGAAATGTACTGAAGGTCACACTGCGAAACAGTAGGAGAGCCACGGAATTCATTACCATTCCCCAAAGATGCGGGGTAATGGGGGCAACCTGGATACATTAGACAGAGTAAAAGAAAAATAAAAAGAGTTATTGTTCTTCTTCCCACCTGGCCCCAGTTCACACAGGTGCAACGGAGAAGCATTCTGCTCGAGAAATGAGCATCTGAGAAGATAAAGTGAAATTCCACCTAATTTAAGAGTCCAGAGTTGTGCAGGTCTGTGAAACAGGGAATTTTAAACTTACGTTAAAATATCTTTCTTTCTATAAAGTTTATGTTAATAAATCTGGAGCAGAAAGCCTGCCTGGCTCTACATTCTATCTATCTTCTTAGCAAAATGACAAAGGAAATGGCAAATTTATTCAAAACTTACCATTTTCAGGGAGTGGCAGTGAATTGGTGCCAGTTGGGGGAAGACGTTGGAATGATACCTCCATCATATGTGTGTGCGCATAGATATATTTATACACACAAATACGCACACACGCATACTATACGTGATTTTGCATGTATATCTGTATTATGCATACAGGCAGTTTTGCAAGTAGCAATACAATTTCCAGCCAGTTTTCAGCTTGCCTAGCTGAGGAAGTCTGGCACTATAAAGTGCCAAAACTTAGTAAATTTAGTCTGAAATTCAAGTGACAACCACCCCACCACCACCCCTCCCCCAAACCAAAATCCCAACATGCGGCAAGCAAATGAACATGAGAATTTTTTCCTTCTGCTGTAAAAAAAAAATATTGGAAAGAAAAAAAAGGCTTAAAGCAGCATAAAACACCAAAACCCCCTCCACCCCATCCCTGCTTAACAAGCATTTCACTCCGATGGAGAGGAAGCAGTTGGTAGCACACATTATCTACAGCAGTAGAAGACAGCAGTAAATTACAGCTCTAAATGGGCATTTTGATACTAAAATAGACCTAAATTCAAACCATACATGGCCTGGTTTGAGCATCCCGCAGAACCTGGAGGTGGGAGAGCCGCAGCGGCCGAGGCAGAAGCCCGTGGGATCGTCCTGGCTCATGTCCGACTCCAGGTTCGGCAGCCGGCAGCACAGGGGATGGGCTGGGAGGCTGACCAAGCAGCTTTGGCAAACCTCTTCTCTTTAAATAGAGGTTCCGAAAGGCCATGGTTTACTGCTGACATCCCCTTCTGGGGTGAAACCAGCCGGATGAGTTGGTCTGAAGTAAGTTAAGCAGGAAAGCCAAGGAAAGATCACCCTGTTCCCAGTAAAAGGCCACGTGCCAAAGAGGTAAGTCCTGGTGTCTATGTCTGATCTTTGATAGAAAACTCTAAAACACTTTGCTACTCTTTCTGGGACAGACAGTAATCTTCAGGACAACACACACTGGCCTCTTTCAGCACCAAAGGCAAAGAAAACTCTTGCTAACTCCATTCCACCCACTGACCCAGCTTGGACATGGTGGCCCTCTTGTAACTACTGTTCACAAAAGGCAAAAGCTGTGACCCAGAGAAACCAGCCCTTCACTCAAGCTAGGCAGACACTGCCTAAAAAACCTACTTTTAAATGAAGTAAAAGGAGGCTGACCTGGTTTCCAAATCACAGCCCAACACGGAGTGGTACAGATGCATCTGCAAGTCCTGGCCCCCAGGAGAAGGGCAGAGACGCCCCTTGGCACATCCCACCTGGTCAGAGCTGTGCTCAGGTGTTTGAAGGGGGCTGTGCACCTTATAGAATCATAGAAAGGTTTAGGTTGGAAGGGCCCTTGAAGACCATCCAGTGCCACCCCCTGCCCTGGGCAGGGCCACCTCCCACCAGCCCAGGTTGCTCCAAGCCCCGTCCAACCTGGCCTTGAACACCTCCAGGGATGGGGCAGCCACAGCTTCTCGGGGCAACCTGCCCCAGGGGCTCACCACCCTCAGAGTGAAAAATTTCTTCCTGATATCTAAGCTAAAACTCCCCTCTTCCAGTTCGAAGCCATTCCCCCTCATCCTATCTCCTTCCTTCAAAGGCACTCCTCACCCCACCGCAAAAGCTAAACCACAACACCCAGGTTACTGGTGCGTGGAGGCACACTGGGAAAAGCAACAATGAGAACTTCTGGGAATGCTGTTTATCTTCAAGCTGTAAAAATAGGGCAGTGTTGTATCCTACATAAATAATTGGGTTTTGTGTATAGGGAAGGTGATCAGAACAAAAGCAACATTCCCCCATACCTGCAGCACAGCTGAGCACCGGTCTACGCCGGTTTCGAGCCTAAAGGAAGACTCTGACTCTATAGCAAAACATCATGGCTAGTCTCCACGGCAGCTGATGATCATTTAGGAAGAACTAATGTTTTAAAAGAAAAAATAAATATGCAGAGCATTTTCTGCATGGGCTTTGCATAAACTGGAGGATGGCTTTTCTCATCAAAGACCTGAAGAGATTGTGATCACAATAGCTGAGGCCCTTTAAATTGCCTGCTGGCTCTTGGACAGAACTGCCACCAAGCTTCTGTCAATCCTCTTTGTTTTTGAGATGTGCTATGGAAGAACAACCCCACTATTAGGACCAGATTCCACAAAGTCCCAAGCACTCAGTACGTTTCGATGTTACACACTCGCCTGCTGCACCGAAGCTCATTCATTACTGCTGTTACAAGGCAGTTTTAATGCTGCTTTGGGCTTCTGGTAATTTTGAGGCCAATTTGCAAAGATGGTTGATAAAATCTGTTTCATAATTAGCATGCTCCATAAGAACTATCCCCCCCTTCCCAAAGCACCATTGAAGCATGTGCCTGGGAGGAGATTCGGAGAGTTGCGCTCGGGAGAATAAGGCCTGGTTTGTACAAATTTGCATTTGGAACGAATATCAGCCTTGTAAAATCTCGGGCAGTGCAGTGCATTCTGCAGCGCTGACAGTTTATCAAACCCAGCGCTCAGCACCTTTTCCTGCAGACGATTTGCGGAGCTGCACACCCACCGCTACGCTGGCAAGAGCAGCAGATGCGATGGAAGCACGCACCTATGAAGAGCCAACAATTAAATTTGAAGATAATAAGCAAACATCCTTGTTTTGCCAAGGAAATTAAACTTGTAAAACCTCTGGAGGTGCTCACCGACTCGACAGATAGGGTTCTTAAGCAGTCATGAGATGTGTAAATCTTAGGAGAGCTATGCTAAATCATTTGGGTTGCAGTTTCCAAAAAGCCTCACTTCTGGCATAATGAAATCAGTGGGAACAGCGTTCAGCCACTATTGAGAGCTTTTTATCCACGAAAACAGGATAATATTTATGTATATGATGAAAGTGTTGTTAAGCTTACGCTAATAATGCTTTTAAATTCCTTGCCAGCCTCAGGCAAGAACAAACACACTTCTGATTACACCAAATAAATAGTAATCAGTAGAAATTAATTTGCCAGACGCTTAAAGTGCATCTCGCTAAAGCACATCCACACCTTTCTCTGGCTAGGACTTCTTCTAAAGCTGTCTGTCAAGGATGGTTATAGCCCTGGCTCTCACCTATTGTCTGACTAAACATCCCCTCAAACCCCTTGTGTGATATGAACGCACTTCAGACCATCTGTTTGCCGGCTTGCATTGATCTAAGTGGATGTTTACATTTATTTGTATAGCACTTTTACAGGTCTACTTGCGCTGATAATGCATTAAGCTGGACATTATATATGACACTCGGTTCATTTGTCTAAACACACAAGAGAACAGCTAGCTTAAGAGTCGGCATCAATTACCAAAATCCAATTTTTAACACAGTTTTAGTTTCTTCCCTGTGTTTTGTAAATGGCAACTGAGAAATTATTTCCAGTTATGTCCAATCATTTCTTGCGGAGTTCTTCTGCACTAAAGCAACATAAATAACTGCAAATGCATCCCTGCAAACTGCAGCTGACTATGGGATGCTGGTCACGTAAGACAGATGGCAAACCCTACAAAAGGTACAGGATACTGAAGTCACATTGAAATCAGTACAAAAAAATCTCAGTAATTAAAATGGGACAATGATGGCGTCCTTAGTACAGCTGATATTACAAAGTAGTTGGTTGAAAACTGTCTTTTGGGGTTAGCTTGAGACAACGCAGCTCAAGTTTCAGCTCTCTCTCTGGCACAGCTTTTCCAGAGGACCCTGGACGTGTCCGACAGGTACCCTCCCTCCGGCTGCTCTTTGAGAGTCCCTGCTGGAGGACTGCAGATGTGCTCCATGGCTAAGCCCTTACCTGTTTCAGCCAATGCTAAAGAGGATACAAAAGAGCTGCTGTTTAAGCCCATCAGCTAATTCTGACCAGAGAGAGCTGGGAGCACCCCTGGGAACATCCCAGCCAGAGGCAGGATGCAGCAGGGAGCACTGGCAGGAGGCAGTAATGAGCAGCTCCAAATATTGTACTGTAATTTCTTCCTCAACACAGCTGTCTGTAGCCTACACATCTGTCTAAGTGCTGAGATACCACTTAATGAGCAGCCACGGCAGCACAAGCTGCAAAACCCACGTAAGTACAGAGCCAACACGCACGTACTTGGGTGTTGACTCCGTACATGCCCGTGTACGGCTCTACCACACTAAACCTAAACTGGCAGGAGGAACGAACCTCATTAATTAAAGGCTATCTAACACTACTGAAGTACACTGATAACCTTTGTTTGTCCATGCTTCATTCACATCTGAGAGAAGCGGAACTAACCACCCCACGCCACCTCCCAAAGCATTCTCTGCACAAATGAGTTAAAGATTGAAAGTTCATCAGGCAAAGCGGCCATGGCAACTACAGCGCTACCTTCAAATATAAACACGACCTTGAACTTAAATCATAAGCAGAACTTAAGCAGAAGCTTGAAGTTGAGTCAATATATCAACACCATTATCTTCGCATCTCGGAATACTGAGCCAGATTGTTTTCTCATGGATGTTTGCATAAGCAACAAATACAAGTCAAGGGAGTTTTCTATTGATGCCAGACTGATTATATTTTTAGTTCTGTCAACAACCTGCCAAAAGACCTCGGGCAAGTCCTGTAATGGTTCTGTGCCCTAGTTTCCTTCGTTTACATACAATAAGCAACAAGTAACCTCCCTCACAATGCCATTTCAGCATCCAGTATGTTTGAGAGGCTCCATACGTCTCTGATGGAAGCATCTACAAAACATGCAAGGCTCTCTAACAAACGTCCAGACTACTTCATCTGAAAATCTAGCTGCTGAGGTCAGCTTGCTGATTTGAAAGACTTAAAAAGCTCTATGGTGGGGAAAGAATGGAAAATGAAGGACATGAGGTGAAAAGTCCCTGAGAGTTTCCTCTCGGCTGAGGTGGACATAGTCCAAAAATTCTTTATACTTTCTTTTCCTCTCTCCTCTCCCAGAGGTGGTTTTCTATTGTGCATGTGCTGAATGGTAGGTTTGCTGGAGTTGAGCCAGAGAGAGAGGTAGATGGATGCCTTTGTGGTCAGGGGAGGGAGGGAGGGAGGGAGGGAAGGATTTCCTATTGCAGAACAAAGCGGAGTTATTGATAACACAATGCACTAATATGCTGACTATTAGGAAACGCTGGCTGTTTTCTTTGCATTTGGGGGTGCAAACAGTTAACATTTGGGGAAACAATTTGAATTCAGAAATGGTGCCCTTCTAGAAATTTCCTCTCCCTGGTGCTCGGAATAAAGAACAAGAATAATCTTCTTTCCTTTTTCTCTCTCTCTCACTTTCCTTTCAAGCAAGCTAAAAAAAGAAAGAAAGAAAGAAAAAAGAATAGGCTGAAGTAAGTAGCATTTGGAAGAAATGGTGAACTTCAGGTTGTTGTTGCAAGCTGACAAACTGCTCTGGCCACCAGAAGAGAAAGATGCTGTTCCAAAGTACACTCACCATTAGTATGTCTGCTGTGATAGCCCAGTTTGAAAACAGAAGAGTTTCTCCGATAAAAATGCAAATCTGTTGTAACAAAACACACAAAAAGGAGACGATTTATTCACTTGACATTCAAGGGAAAAATAACCTGTCACAAACTTTGCTTTGTTGCTTATTTGTTTCAAACCTACACAATACACTCCTTGCTACTCTTGTGGCTTATCCTGAATATCAGAAAACTATAGATTTTTATCAGAGCTCTAGAGGGTTGGCCTGCAACTTCATTAGTGTAAACCGTTTATGATCTACAGGGCAGCTAAATAAAAGGCTGACACATTTGGTAACAGAAGAACATGAGAAGCCAGTGAGAAGAGACAGCCCTGGGATTCCACACCCGCATCATTCTGTTCCAAAAAGCTAGTTAGAAAAGAAGGCCTCAATTCCCCAAATACAGTCGTTTTCATCACTAGGAGTTAAGTTATGTGTTAAGCTTTGTAGCAAACCAACCGAGGTTCCCTACCCACTGTGCGCAAGCTCCCTTCCCTCCCCTGTTGCCATATCGCTGTCCTTTTTGAGGGGGATATAGGTCTGGGCACTGTAACAACGTAAGCATTACATTGGTAATATCTACATACGGTCAGGACAGGACTTAAGTGTGGGTTTTGCAACACCAGTGTCTTACGTTGAAATACAACTCTCGACTCTGTGGAGATGGCCAACAAGACACATTAAAAGCCCTGTGGACGTAGTGTGATGAGAGCTTTTTGCGCTCGTGCGGTATAAACAGCCACCACATATCCTTTCCACCTCCGGCACTGTCCTCACTTACTCCCATCCCATACCACCTTCTCAGCTGGGCTGGTACAACAGAGCCGAGCAGGGATTCAGACCAGGAGACTGAGATGGAGCAAAGAATCTTTCGCTGGGGGGAGGTAGGGTAAGAGGGGCTTGCTTTGCTTATTTTTCTTATTTGTAACCCAAATCAGTTCCCTGGTGCAATCCACTAAATGGTTCTACAAACACAGCAGCTGAAGAACTGGAAATGATCAAGAGGAGAAACTAATTTAACCTGGCCTCATCATTAAAACAAATGTTCATCAAACTGAGTCCAAGGGAGCAAGGGTGACATGGCTTCAGGAGGAACACGGCCTTCACCAAAAAGCTTTTACCCATATTTTACTCATATCATGAGACTTTTGCTTTTAACAATTTAACCACGAAACGTAGCTTCAATAGGATGAAAAAAACAAGGATGGACAATATTACACAGACACGTTTCCCTCTTCTTTTGTGTATTACGAAGAGCAGAACACAGACAAAGCACTAGGCAAACAAGACTTGTAAAAACCAGCCCCCCTGCTCCCCATAAGCAAGAAGGCAAGCAAAACTCCTTTATCAGATGTCCTCCAAAAGGTTGCTTTTTGCCCAGCTAACCCATTTCTTCTAGGGGCATCGAGAGAGAAAACATTACTGCTGGAATCCCTATTGGTAGTTGGAGATAACAGCTACGGAGATTTGGACTCTGGTAACTGAAGACTCCCCTTTTAATTGCCTTATGTTCAATTTTTGTTATGTTGACTATGCTACCATTTGTTAATGAAGCAAAGCCGGCAAGAAATGCACGGCACACATTGCTCTGAGGAACCATTCATATGGCTGTTGCCTGGTGGTGTCCTTGGGAGCGCTGAGGGGCCGACAGTCCCAGTCACCGTCCCAGGCGCTGTTGCTTGCATAGGGGCAGGTTGGGGTGGGAGGAGGACCTCCAAGATTGGCAGCTTTGGCTCAGATGTGACCACCGCAATTGTCTTTCCCACACCTTGGCTGAGACTGCCCAAACCCCTCAGACCATCATGTCACCGCCAGGAACAGCTTGCTTTATTTAGCAAGTCTTACGCATTGACCTACAGAAAGCTTCCTCTATTTGTTTCTAAAATTGTCTTTGTTTCCCACACATTCTCCCTCCCTGACCCTTCTTTTTGCGACTGGATCTGCTTCCTCTGCGATGATGTTTGAGCCAGTCATTACGGCCCAGCTGGTCCGCGAGGAAAACTCCTCTTTCCATGTTCCCACTGTCCACTGGTCTGCCTTGAACCTGGCTCTCACTGGAAATGACAACCGCCAAGCTAAGAAACACGGATCCAATGAATCAAGGCGCTGACGGGACTTGAAGCCATGTGTCGTGTAGCAGGGACATACCGGAGCCCCAGGTGGGCTCTCGGGACCTGCTCTGAAATCTGTCCTACTACAGCTTCGCAGCCGCTGTTGCTGGGGTTCTGCGGCTGGAGAGATTAAATTGAGCTGGGGAAAGATGCAATCACACTTCTGAATGCAGCATCGGCATGCCCTGCCTGTTCAGGCAGCACTGCAAACAGGCAACTGCTTGCCGTAAGGTTATACAAATCGCATACACGTAAAATACATAGGAATTCTTACACGCAGCAAGGGAAACTTGCCCCCTTCCGTGGGAATTCCGCACAAGCCCTACAAATAAATCACTGAAATGCTACAAACTTCAGAGGGCACCAGTTTTGATTGTTGAACGTGTATTTCACCCAGCATGTTTCTGTGAAACACGGGCTTAATATGCGGGGTACTGGTAAAAAGAAAAGAGGAACGAGAGGAAAATCAAGAAGTAGGACAAAAGATACTGACACTAAAAAAAGTCTGTCCTTCAGCTGCTAATGGGGATTTATAAAAATGAGTTCATCCACTGCAAAGGGCATATGAGGATTTGTGGCACTTCTGCTAGAGAGAGAATCTAGGGATGCTTACTGCAAATTGGGCAGCCTCCAGAACAGACCAATAGCTCCTGAAACGGTCACAGATTTGACTCCCCACACACTTTTCGAAGCCTCCTTTTACACTGAGATTTCAGCCCTAGACAGATATCCTCTTCTGAATCCAGCTGTGTTGTAGAGTATCTCACCATCTCATCCGTGATGAGCTGATAGAAGTTATGTCCCCCTCAAGTCTTCTGTTTATGTGATCAGTTAGCAAATTCTGATTCCCCAAAATGATAAACAAAGCAGCTGCAGAGTGGTCGCACCAGCAGCTCTCACAGCAAGGTCTAAGCAGGTTATAAACTCCTTCCCATGGCTATCTGCAAAGTGCGTATCTATCTACATCTTCGTTATCCGTACTTCTCTTTGAAACGCCGGGTATGACTCCCAGATGCTCTCTTGAACATGAAGCAAGTCTAACTCCGTCTCAGTGTTGGCAACATGGATGGCTCAGCAGTAGGTAAGCCACCAACACCATGTCAACTGGAAGTCCCTGGAGTTGAGCCTGAGATGCTGTAAAAGCTCTACGGCAAGGCTTTACCCTGGGAGTTGCTGTTTCTGCAAGATCATAAGACGTCTTTGAGGAATTGAAATAGACGCTGAAATTGAGGTACAATAGGAACATGGAACAGTGTCAAAAGGAAGGCAAAGCAGAGCGTGTCTCTCCAGTCACTCGGAAATTTCAACTAATCTAAAATCTGCTGTAGAAATGTCTGAGTAGTGTGATACAATGATGCCATAGAGCTAATGGGTTTCAAGAGACAGGTTTGAAAACCAGCACATATTTCAGGAAAGAGAGGGACCTAAACATATGCAAATTGCTGTTTTATGGAGCTGGACTACAACACACAAATACACCTGCTGCCAGGAAAATGGAATAGGAACTGCCTGGACTATGGATCCCAGCAAGATAGTAAAAGATAGAAATACAAGTGTCTGGGCAGCTAAGTGATACAGAATGCTGTTCTATTCCACCTTTCCAGCCACTTCTACCACTGCCAATAATTTACTGGCTTAGTATGAAAAGACTGGATGAAAAAAAGAAGTCTGTCTACCTGCTCCAGGTAGGAGTGGCTGCTACAGAACTGGAATAGCTGCTGCCCCGAGGGACCAAAACCACCTGCAAGACAGGACTGAGCAGGGCTGAAAAAGTACGCGTGTTCCGGGGAGGAACAGAGCAGACAGTCGACAGCCTGTAAGGGACAAGGTGATCGTGCCAAAGGATATGCAGGTCTTTTCCAAAATAAACAACCCCCCCAAGCCAAGAAATTAAAAAGCAAGGGCTCTGCCGATCCTTGCTGGAGTGCTGAACACTTCGTTTATGCTGATGCCACTATCAGTTGAAATTAAAAACTCTCGACTGTTAACTAGAGCAGGGAGGAAGATCTGGTGGCCACCACAGCTCAGGGTGACAGAACACCAGCTCGTGGGGACCCATCTAAATGCTTGGAAGTGATAATTCTAAGGCTGTGAGCCAATGAGGGGTTCAAAACCAGTAACCCTTCAATTTTAGCATGGTGTGATCAATGACAGAAATCTAAGGACAGTCTCAATACAGAAGGTCTGGAAATACCACCATGTTGGGGAACAGAGCAGAGCATTGCTCTTGCCGTTCACAGTCACACAGAACTCAAGGATGGTGTTTCAGGATGAGAGCCAGGACACAGCTGTCACAGAAGCTATCAGAGATGAGAAAATCCACCCATAAATTTTAGTGTATTCTTTCCAGACCAAGCTATTACCACGGATTTTGAGATAAGGAAGGTAACCTAGTCCATCACGTTGCCCACCAAATCTATGTTTTCCTTCTCCAGAGTCAGAGAACAGGCTTTCCTTCGTTTTGGACCAATGAGACTTTAAAACAGAGCGTAATGAGAAACCACTCTACCGTGCAGCCTTGCAAAACAGGTCTCCTAGCGAAACAAAAGGGAATTAAACACTCGGGAAGCCTGTAAGATTGCAATAGCATGGAATGGCGTGGAAAAACAAGGGCTCGTGTTTGAAACTCGCCTTGAAAAGTCAATTCCCCTGATATGTAGCACCACCATAACACCTTGTGTTGTGAGACATCGCTAGCTCCACCATAGACCTGTTCTCTCAGTGGGGTTAGCAGCTGTAACACTAAACAGTAACAGCAACAGGGGTTGTGTCGTTGCTTTGTTTGTATTAATTTAGAGCGGGTGGGTTGGCCACAGATCATCTAACTCCAGGTGATCTACAAACATTAATGACCTAAGCTACCCTGACCCTTTCTAAGTTGAGAATCCTCATTTTTGCAGAGGCAAAACAAAGTCAAATAACTTGCCCACTGCCACATGTAGGATGTATAAAGAGAGTTCAGATCTCCGATTCCCCAATGGGCACATTACTAGACTCTTACCTGCTTTCTACGCATCAGGCCTGGAGCAGCAGCGAAAGCATATTTAGGGCTGGGGAGAGGCAGGGGGACCTGCCACAAATGATGCATCAGCCTAACAGCATCAGCAAATAGACTTACAGTCCTCATACCCCCTCCATATGCAGATGTAACTTCCTTCGCAAATCATTGACTCTTTATTAGATTTACTGCTCATGCATAATAGAATAAATTGTTTCTAAGATTGGTTAAATAATACCATCTATATTTACATATTTACACAATGTAGACTAGTCATGCAGCTATTAAAAAAAAAAAGAAGAAAAAAAGATGAAAATGAGACCAATAACCACCTTTTGTTGCAAAATTTTTGAAAACAGTATTTCCAGCTTAATAAGGGAGGGCTTTCTGCATAAAGAGATTAAATGCCACAAATGAACATGTCTGTCATCAGGTTTGAAAAAGGAGAAAATCACAGGTCTGGCTGCACAAAGAGGGGGAGGGGAGAGGCATGTGGAGGGATGTGACAGATCTCTTCTCATGGACACGGCTCACCATGAAAGGAGGGTTATCGCTTGGCCACCCAGTAACACCCTCTTACAGGTTGTCTGAGGGGACCATTTTCCTTCTGAATGAGAGGTTAGCTCTAGACCATGCCACAAACCAGGGGACCGAATCTCCTTCTGACACTTCCTAAATAGCCAGAGCAGGCGTTCTTGCTTCTCTCTTAATGTCTTTAAATTTTCACTCTTTCTTCTTGTTTCCCAGTAACGACGGCAGCTATCGAAATCCTCAGAAAATAACCATGGCTAGGCTAGTGCTAGAAACGCGGAGAAATAAGGAGCCGCAGTAGATTGGTTGCTTGGTTAATTGCAAATGAATTCTCACGCTGGGTGGAGTGTGCACTGCAGCGTGGAAGCTAAGGGTGGGCTTTCAGAAATTATCCCGCTACACCAACCATCTCACGCTTTCCCTTCAAAAACTTTTCCCGGGTCCCAGGCTTCCCTCTGCTACATTGAAAGAAAACCCGGGACCTGTTCAGTGTACTGGATTTCTACTCTTTACCAAAAGCAAGATTCCAGCCTGAGGCTGGATACTTAAGTTTTTCCTTTTCCCTTCAGTCTGTTTGTCTGGATTTATGTGATTTCTTCTTATATACTTCGATTACAAACACTCTGGGAGGGGCCATATCTTAATCTGCATTTGTGCAGCATCACGTATTGTGGGTTCCTGGGCTACGACTAGGACTTTCAGGTGCTATGGTAATACAGATAACAACAAACTGAAATTACAAGGTAATTAATACTGGTCTGCAGCATCCTACCTAGTTATGGAAAATTAATGGTACTTAAAGGCAGCCAAAAGCATGCCCACAGACAAATTATACTGTAATTATAATTTGGTACCACTGCAGCTACAATACCCTTATTGTAAGGGAAGTGGCCGATTTTCCTGTACCAAAACATGAAGCAAGAGCGGTAGAGGTATGGATGGAGGTATAGATAGAGCAACCCGAAGGCAGGGAACTGTGGGTTTCCATGCATGTGCTAAATCCCCAGCTCTGCATCCTGATGACGGTTAGCGAGGGGATAAGCAGTTGAGATATCCTTTTCCCTCCAGGCACATCTAGATCATGCCAAAATGCCAAGGGGCAAAATGAAGGACATTCAGGAAGGGGAAGAACAAAACCAACATCTCGGGCTTCCTGCAGGGGACAATGCACACAGTCTTCTGAGGAGTTTGGTAGAGGGCGTAAGAGTGAGATGGGCAGACGCAAAGGATTATACTTACGTAGGCTCCCACAATGCTGCTCTTGGCAGCAACGAAGATCAGACAGATGAAGATGGCTGATCCGAGCATGCCAACGGCACAGACAAGGGGATCAGCTCGCTGGGTTTTTAACCGGCACCATTTGGTTGCCCCAGCCCCTGTGATTACACCCAGGAAGCCAGTGAAGCATGTGATTGCTCCGAAGATCAAGCTATTAAAAAGAAAAAAAATAAAATAAAGAGACAGGTGGGTTAGGTTGTTTTTGGAGTTTTTCCCAAAAATGGGCATGGTCTTTGAACAAATTATTAGGGTAAACTGACTAACAGAAATCTGATTTGCAAATTTAAAATAAAACAAATGAGCTCCCCTGCCGAGTGCTTGTGATTTTAGCACTCTTCCCCTGCAATTAAGACAAAAACAGCATATGAAATTCAGCCTTGTACACACACAGGCATTGATCAACATGCAGAGAGGTGCAAAGGGCTCACGCTGCTGCTTTGTGCGGATCTGAGCTTCCTCTCAAGTGCATCGCACAGCTAATTATGTACACACACAGCTAAGTACTAACCTGCCCACAGATCGTGTAAGGGGAAATCATGGACAGAACAGGCACTAGGAAGCTTAAGGGAAAGGAAACCCAACAAGACTCTAAATACCAGTGACTTTCAACATACTTTGACTTTCTAAATCCTTTCAGACCACTTCAGAGAAGCCTGATTAGATTATTTTGCTGTTATGTTACACATTTGAAATATGTTAATTTAAATTTAAAGAGCCAGGAGCCATCGAGGATTCTCCATACTGTATGTGCAAGACTCGGATTACAGAGTCTTTGGCAACTACATTACGGTAGCTCCAGGGCAGCTCAAAATATAGGTGTCATCAAGGAGTGGAAAAGTCCTCTTTGTAAACAGCAGATGGGCAGTCTGACTGGAGCTGTATTTTCTGCTCACTGCATTTTTGCAGAATGGACCGAGGCTGCCCGCTGGGCGCTCTAGTTGATGGTACTCCAAACCACTAAGTAGTTTACTTGAGATGGCATTGTGTCAGCTAGAGCAAGAAGGTTTTCCTAATGTTATTTTTCCCCTCACAAGCTAAAAAGCAAAAGGGCTGACAAAAGGCAGTTTTTCGTATCTTTTATTCACCTAGAGAAATGCCTTTTTTAGCATTTTATGTTTTGTGCCATCGTGGTAAAGCACAAAACAATGAATTACTTTCCACAGCTTACGTGCTGCAAGTGATATTATGTAACTGGGACTGAAAAACCAAACCACCGGGTACCATCCGGCAATCCAGACCCAAGCGTCCCAAATCTCTGCATCGTTTTCCAGCAAAACTCAGCACAAAGAGTAGTGTACAGAGCAACGAAACGCGGTGAAGTCCTCCCTCACACAGAAAGAGAACTCTTCAGGGTCAGCCCCTCGCAGCCCTTAGGGGCACCCCGAATTACAGCCACCACCGCGGCCACCCAACCCGCCAGCTGATTCTGCCGCTGTCACAGAAAACAGCGTGGGTCTTCAGAAAGCAATTTCTCTCTCAGCTCTCTGAGCATCTAAGGCAAAGACAGCAATCTCTTTTCTACCTCCGCACTATCGCCTGGGAACTAAGACAGAGCTGAGGTCATTGCTTCTCCCTTGGTTTGACTTCACGTGATGAAGAAAAGAAGAGAAATAAAACCCAGTTTACAATCGCAGCATTTCCTATCATTGTTGCAAAGATCTAGAGGAAATTACAGACATTCTAGTAACTTGACTCCGTGGGACTTGCCTGTTTCCTCTGGTAAATAAGCCCCCACTCCCTTTTCCCCCTCTTTAAAGCAGCGGAGTATGAATCTCACCTATCTTTGGTGCCGCAGGGCTGTGAGCTGCAAGTCTCTGCCGTCTTCTGCACGACCTGCGCTCTGTGCAGGTAGAGAGGGATCCACATGCCAAGGGCCCCTGTGGCAAAGGAGACAGCTGAGGTGGCCAGCGATGAGAACACGTAGCTGCGGCTGTGGAGACACAAGAGGCAAAACCAAGAGAAGGTTTAGTGGGAAAAGTGAAAATGCAGGAGCCCCAGGACAGGAGCCAGCGACAAAACACAGCGTTCCCCCATACTAGCCACCTCCCTTTGCCAAAGGACAGAGATAATAGAAGGTACAAAGCAAGGGAGAGTAAGATGCATGGAATATTTCTTCATACGTGATGCTCCATTGATAATAATGCACTTAACTCTTCAGAGGTGCTTCAAAGAGACCATTTTCCACGGGACCGTTGCAGAAGACAATCAGTACTAAGCCACTAAGATATGATCTGTGAATTGCAGGGCTTCCATTGTAATATCCCCCGTTTACCTGGACTACCAGTTTCACTACTCCCTCCCCATCCATGCCACCAAATGATTACCACTTGGATAAACTAACAAAAAAAGTAATATAGAAATATTGATAAATTAACCATTATCACTTTCCACAGTTCTTTGATACTGGATGACAACACCAGGAAGGCATTCCAGCCGGCCGGTCTAAAAATGACAGACACCGTAAGTGTCCGATCAGAATTCTGATGAACACTGAATTCAGGAGTGCAAGCATTTGCACATTCACAGGGAAGCTTTCTGGAAGCAAGTGCAGCTGCTTAAACGTGAGCGTGTCATCTTTTATGCACATATAGAAGCACCCAAGCGCATTCAGTGCTCAGGCATTCAGTCCCACGTGGTTGTATAAGCATATATATTTAAACTCGCCATGTAGCGCAAGCTTTTGTGTATTTTCTCCTCTTAAATTGCTCTGGCATTTACCTATCTGTTTTTGCCTCAGCAGAGTAGCTCTTTCAAGGAAGAAAAAAGATCTAAGCATCTGAGCAACAGTGGCACAACAATTAATACAGGAACACAGCAATTTCTGCACTTCAAAAGCCTTGATTTGTCTGAAGTGTGAGCCAAACAAAGCCGAGTCTCTCTTAGATCTGAATCTTGGAAAGGTTAGAGCAAAAGCTGGGATCCATCATTGTCATTGCAGTCAACACCTCTGGAAGACGTAACCGTGATTTTCTTTCCCAGGTCCCCAGACTAAGCTTCCCGCAACTCCCTGCCCGCTGCCGTGTCCCAGCCTCAGTGCGAGGAGGTAGAGGCCATTGGGCGTTCCAATTAAACATTAGAGGCAAAGCATGGTTTTTACTAGGGCACTCTTACTTTCTAATCAGTGCTTTCATGTCTCTTAGCCAGGAGGTCCGAGCCTTCAGCTGTCCCCCAAGTTGTTCAACATTTCCTCTTTTAGCAGCAGGTACGAATATCAAGATGAGTGTCCCTGTTATCATTCCCAGGAGCGGAGATACCTGCAAGAAAGGACCAGGGAATTAGCACAGGAGTCAGCAGGGTTTGCTTTGATTAATCAGTAAGAACCAGATTACATTAGTTTCATTCCAGCGACTCAATTCTTTACTGCCAGCCAGAACCTGTAAGCACACCGAGGCATTTACTCCCCTCCTTCCTCCCTGTCATTCCCTGGACTCTCTCATCTCCCTCCGGAAGCACGTAGCTTTGAGAACGCTCCGACTAAGGCAGTCCATTTCTTTGTGTTATTGAAGTACCAAAAGTCATCTAAACACAGTTCTGCAGTGATGTCTAACTCTTTGGAAACCTACTCCCAGCTGGACTAGGAGACCAACTGGTTTCTGGGAGAGCGCAGGAGGTTTTTGAGGGCCACCAGGCCAGGTGAAAGGTTTCTGGATGTAGGGAGCATGCTGGCTCTGAAAATCCTCGCCTGACATGCATCCCTCTTCCAGCTAACCTGCAATGGCTTCCCATTTTCAGGCAGCTTCCTCAGATTACCGCAGTGTACAGCAGACCATGAAACACTGAAAATTCAGGCTGGAAGACAGGAAAGCGACACATTCAGGGGTTAGGTTTCCCAGTTTCCCATCCTTTCTCCCAGTCACTAGACAAAAATAGAAAGTTTCCACAGAGTTTTGCAAACTACAAACATGATTCTTGTTCTGACACTGAAATTCCACCATTGCCAGAATGGAAAAGAGCTCCATTAGGAAAACAGGAACATGGATTTTTACTGAACTATCATCTCTTCTATATATGCCATATTAAAAATAGATTCCTGTTAAAAAAAAAAAAAAAAAAAAAAAGCTTCCAATAATAACCTGGGAATCGCCTTTACACATAGAGGAGTGTTTCATGTCCAGAAATGACAAAGACAGAATTCTTCTAGGGAAGGAAAGGGAAGACAAAAATATTTCAGAACTGGAAAGTCAGGAAAACCCCTCATCCCGGGATAAATGAAGCCTGACACAGTATCTTTATTACAGTTGAACACCAAACACAGCACGGGGGGGAAAAAAAAGGAAATGCTGGGATTTTCTAGGGTCATTTAATTTAAAGTCTCTTTTGAGTTTTAGCTACAGGCTTAATCCCCCAACAGGACAATATCCGTGGATACTCAGTAATGCTCCAGTGAAACACTGACATTACCACTAGATCCAGAGACAAAGCTGCCAGTTGTCAAAGCGCCCTTCTGTCTTCTTCAGCCCCCTGAAGTACAGGTTATTCCTGACCTCCCATGGATTTGAAAGCCACAGGAGATCACAGAGGGAAGCATCACTTAGGGGAACCTTTCACTTCTTGCAAGAGCACAATAATTGCCACAGGGACGGAGGCTGCTTTACACCGATGTCTGGAACATGTGCTGTTTGACCACAAGAACGAAGCAATGCCATCCAAAGCAACCGTCACAGAAGCGTGCAGCTTGTCAGATTCCCCAGGATTTTGCCCAGTCGGGGAATGATGCATCAATGTGTCATTTATAGCGGAGATCATGACCACATAAGGGGTACAGCCTTGCGGACAGCCTGGATTTGTCAGGATAACGACGGAGACTTCATCTGAAGAAAGATGCTAGTGAGGGTTTCTTTGCACAAACAAATCGTTTGGGTTTTACAGATGCAAACACAAGAGCGCTCCAATGTGTCAACCTCATTAAAGCCCGCTGACCAGGAGGAGGGGCTTTGGGGTTCCTTGTATCTTGTGCTGGCCTCTGCTCAAATGTTAATTTTACCCTCAAAGCATTTCTGCTATTGAATGAGGTAGCCATCCTCTTGCTGGGAAGCTGTAGGCTATTAAACTTTTCATTTCAGGTTCACAGCTGGAAACTCCTCTCCTCTCCCCTCGCTGCAGATGAACCGTTCACGGTGATTTTCCTGGCGTTGCTTACCCTTGCTGCACGGGGAGGGAATGGCCTGTGTCACAGGAGGGCACGTTTGCTTGAGATGAGAACCCACGTATTTCATCACCTGCTGTTATAAACGGTGTTGGCCTGAGCTTCATGAGATTCGTTGTCTTCATGAAGTGCCAGAGCCAGAGAACGCACCCCACGGGGGCTCGTGCCACCCAGACAGCCAAAGGTCAGAGAACAGTTCTGCTGGGCCGCTTCCTCCCGGCTCTTTCAAGACATCTTTGTGTGCAGGATCTGTTTGTGCCTATGTGATTGGAGTGTATTATCTTTTCAACACATTTATCAAGGTCCCAAGAGGTTAAAATAGAAGGAAACCGACTGTCTCAGGGCAGAAAAACAAGCGGAAACTGGAACAAAGTGTTTTTTCCTCAAAGCAGGAAGCCATTCTCGGAGTTTCTTGACAGCAGGGGACTGAAAGACTGTGGAGTTGATTTAAGGCCAATGCTTCGTCTTCCCATCCCCATCAAGAAATCACGGTTGACTGATAATAAAGTGATTGGTAAATTCTTGTTCCCAGGCAGGCAAAAAACCCAAGTACAACGAGCCAAAACCACATACCTTTCCCATTTGCTTAGAGAATGCATCTGCTACGCCCTTAATATCCATAGATGTAATTTCCAATCCTTTCTACATATAATAACAGGTTGAGGAATTGTGTGATAGAACTCTTCCTAGCACTGACGAACCGATGCAACTGTAATTAAGATGTTATTAAAAGTGGCTTACCCGCAACGCCCAGTGCCAGTCTCCAGCAACCTGCTTCACGCTTGACCCAGTGATGTATCCCAAGCCACTGGAAGAAATACAAAGATAAGAGTCAGTCAGAGCTTTAACAGAGCACCACAATCACAGCTGTTCTTAAACGAAGATAAAAAGAGGCACAATCAATTCCCCTGCAGGAAGAAACACAGGGGATGAAGCGGATGGTGGCTAATACGTAACTCTTCCCAGCACTGTTGATCTAAAAATGCTCAAATCTGATGGAAATTCAAACACTGATCTCAAGTTTATAGCTGACCTTTCAATCTACAGTGGATGGAAACAAAGCCTCAAAAAGAATTTATTTCCCAATTCAATTTCTGCATCAGGCCTTTCTGTGCACTAATAGGAATACTTAACAATTTTATGTTCAAGCTCTCAGCTAAGAAGTGCCCTTCAAGGACACACCATATTCTATCATTAAATCTTTTCTTGCCATTTAATAGCACTTGGTTCTAATTACCCATGAAGAGACCATTTTTCATACACTTATAAGAAAAAAACAAGAAGAATATGCAAGACAGTGTGATGGGAGAGCATCAGAGCTGAAGCTCAGAAATCCCCTCTGAAAAAAAAGGAGCAGCAGGACCTTCAGCCACATGCTAAGATTTACACTGCGGTAACAAAAAGTGCCTCACAGGAGACTATATCCATGTGAATGTAGCCATGCTGCTCTCAAAGTTAACTGAATGGATGTGAATTGTGAATTTCTTTTTTTTTTTTTTTTTTTTTTTTTTTCCTCCCCAAACTGCTGCATTTGTTGCTGAGATTGCCTTGGCTAAAAGATGCCGGGACCGCTGCGGGGCAACTGTCAGCCATCACATGCCTTTACTGAACAGTCTGCTAAGTTTTAGGGGTTGCCACCTTTTAGGGGTAATCACCCCAAAACCGGGTTTTTTACACAGATGCGCCCCAAAATCAAACCACGTATCCAAACCTCTGTTGGGTATTGAGAGAATTAAATCCCAGAGTCAGGCTCAACAGGATGAATATTTGTCATTTCTTGCTAGCCGTTGTTCATGGAATTCTCTATGTAAATACTTGGCATCCTCAGCCCTCTTGGGGAAATATTCTTTTCACTGCTTTGGGACTTGGCTATCTCATTTTCCTCAAGAGCAAATGGATGTTTGAGAGTTTCATCCCAGGGATGAGTGCTCTAGCTTGTAAAATGCACCACCCTAAACCAGAAGCGTTTCCCTGAGTTGAGGGGGATTAAACTGCTGCTCAGGTTTTCCCCGCTGGAAATGAACCCACGATGCCACTTTTGCGCAGGATGTTGGCCAGCTCTGGGAACTGGTATGTAAACCCTGCGAACCCACCCTGCCCCACAATAGAGGGTCAGCCATTACTTAAGAAAAAGAAAAATAAAAATAATAATAATAAAAAAAAATCACAGATTCCCTCCTGTCCCAACAATCAGATACTGCATTGGGCTGATAAGGGAACACGACTGAAAGAAAGCGCCAGAGGAAATAACTAGTCCAAATCTGAGTCTGCCTCTTGCTTTCATGGGGCATCTATGGGTTTGGCTCTCCTCCGCTGCTCTGCATTGACATGATCACTACAGCTTCTCTCTTCAGCCTTCACCATTTCTCCTAACTGCTGTTTCCGTGGCAATAGCAGTAAAACGTCCTGGCCACTGCTACCGCAACTACCAACTCATCGAAGATTGGCTTAGCCGCATTTTCCAAACTTAAGTCAGATTGGCCAAATTCAAGGGTGGGCAGAATTTGAGCTTAAACTCAAAATATTTGTAAAAGTCAAAACTTCCAATTGTGTATGTTATACAGCATACTCCTCTTGAAGCCTCTGATATTAAGACGGTCACATAGAAGCAGGTACCCATTCACTCACTTTTGAAAACTCAGCCCAGTGTCTTAAGAGACCTTGGTTTCACAGTAACCTGAAAGACACTGCCTAAAGAAGGCCTAAACCTCACATGAATCAAAGCAACAATTCTGAGAACTGATATAACATTATTTAAAATGACAGTTTAATTTCATAATGGGAAAAAAAAAAATCAGCTAAAATATTTTGATTCCACTTCCACCCAACTGCTGTAAAAAAAAATAATTAATCCTTCCCACTGGTTCCCAAAAGTCAGATGTCAACCAGTAACAGAGCTAGAAAAAGAATCTAATTCCTGCAAGTAATTAGTCACTGCTCACAATATTTTCCTGTCTAAACCATTCCAACCAAAGATAAAAGAACTACCATCGTTAGCAACTTAAGGTCTGCGTGAGCTGACTTTAAAGAAAAGCCAAAACTAGCCGCAAGCAGCATCACATCACTTACCTGCCAAGAGGAATGGCAAAGTAGAAAACGGACAGCATTAGGGTCCTCGTGTTTTTGGTGAAAAGGTCTCCTATGATGGTGGGTGCAATAGTGGAGTAACTTGCTTCACCGATACCAACCAAACCTCGCGAGAGCACAAGAAGCCAGAAATACTGAGAAAAGAAAAAACACCCCACATGAGCTGGTCTCCCCTTCTCTTTTTGAATCTTTTTGAAAGCTGCGCAAACAGGGAAACAGAAACCCACGGGGCTGCAGAGTGACCCCGTTGTGTGCATTTATTTTTTAAAACCACAGACTCTTTCTATTTGCCTCTTGCTGGGGAGAAAAGGGACTATATTTTTTTTTTTTTGTGAAGATTTACAGGCATGAGAGAGAAGTGGTAATAATACACGCTTACCCAGTGGCACTCAAGATGATGACCTAAGGCGGGCAGAAGACCCCCGTTTGTGCTCAGGGTGCCGCTCGCTCTCGTTAAGCCCGAGCGCCAGCAGCCCGAGGAAGGTGTGGGCGGCGGGGGAGCGTAAGGAACCCGCTCTGGGATCCCGGGAATACCTGCCCAGCACAGCCCCGACCTCCCTAGCGTGCCAGGGAACAAGTTACGACTGGTGAAATCCTAAAGGCTCTTCGAAGCTGTGACAGAGGTGAACCCGCACTCCCCCAAACTCTTGATTTTCTCCTCGATGAGAAGCTCCTGAATAAGGGAAGTTATTCGAAGGTGCCAAGCACCTATCTCATTCCACTTGCCCTGGAACAAAAAGCACAGGTCTCTCCCTCGCAGCAGGAAGGCAGAGTGAGCCAACACCGAGCGCTGCTGAAAAACCTCGGGGCAAAAAGCTGAGCTGAGACGCACACAGTTACAAAGAGGTAAGACCTGAGCTTTACTGGGAGCCAGCAGTGCGCCCAGTAAGTGGGACCACCAGGAGACGGGTTCAGAGCCACGCAGGGCAAGGGCACAGGCGGCAAAGGCAATAGAGCCCCAGAGCACTACGCGCCCTTCTGAGTAAAGGGCAATCCCACAGCACGGGGAGAGGGACCTCACGTTCAGCACAACACAGCCTGAAACGGACAAAAAGGGACAAAAAGGAATTGTTCATCTCTCAGGACCCGATTTTCAAGCCAACCTCTTTCGCTACCCTTGCAGCCAGGTGCTGCTGCGTGAAGGCATCAGGCACGATGCTCTGACGCCCAAATCCCCGATACACGAGCACTATCACGTTCTCCGCCATCTAAGCAGCGTGAGCTACACCCAGAAGTAACTGCGGGTGCAGAAATTAAACAGTCAATTGCAGAAAACTGTAAGCACGGGGAAATCTATTTCGACAAATGTAACCTGTACAAATCCTCAATTTACTGTTATTATCCTATAGATCATTTGTGAGAAGAACAGCAGTTCTTATGTCCTTAAACACGAAAGTGCTTTGAGAGCCATGAGCGATTACCGATTCCCGTTCCAGACAGGGAAAAGCTGAGTTTCGGGGATGTGACTGCCTTTGTGCCCCAGAGCAAAGCTAAGCCAGAACACAGGGCTTTCATTCTCAAATATGGAAAATGCCATGTGGACATCAGGCCACGTGCCTCAGTCATAAATACATCCATCGGCAGACAAAAATCCACCACTGACACGTTTTCATTGTTCTCCTCACTGTAACCCTCTGGCTGAAAAGAATTCCTTGAGGATTCCTACAGTCACACAAAACAAATACTTTTGCGCACTCTTCACTTCCTCTGATTTTGACGTAAATTCTGCATCAATACCTATTTTCTGAGCGTATACAAGTTCCTTGTTCGCTGGCAGGGCGTTCGCAGCGCTGCTATCATTCATATATCTCCCATAAGCTGCACATACGTAACAGACACACGTGGGTGTATGCAGAAAAGGCAATACTGTGACTCACGCGATTTAATTTATCCCAATTACCCAATGTTAAACCACTCCACTGCAGAAATATGCTGACAATGATCGCTGCACAGGTAACCAATGTGTTTGCAATGAGCAACAGTATTTATAACATGCTGAATGAGTTAGTCATGCAGAATACGAAAGCGGGGCAACTGGAGGCTGATTTTGGTTTCTGAAGAGGTTCAGGTTTGGACCACAGAGAGGGTGACAGGCAAATAGTCATCCGCCAGACCTGGAGCGAGTATGTACACGGTGTTAGTTACACCTGTAGAATGACAAATTTGCAAATGCACTTGATGTTCCTCAAATTTGAAACACCCCCACAAAAATGACACAAGTTTGTGGTCACCAGCCAGTATCACTCCCAGTGAATGCACTGGGCAGGAATTTCCTCCAAATGAGGCTGCTATAAGGTTCCTCTTACAATCCTTGCATAAAGCAGGAAAACTGTACAAAGTTTTCCTGTTGTGGTGAAGAGTGATTTGGTTGCACCAAAACCATTAAATCAGAGTCCAAATACAATGAAATCACCCGCAACAAGTAACGTGTTCGTTCTTCTCCCCCAGTTCCTCTTCCCTGGCTTATCCCACACTTACATACTCCAAATATCTTTTTAATATTTAAACTATGTTCTCTGAAGCAGCAGTTCCCAAATTTAAGTCATGAAATTCTGACTTCAGTTGGCAGTAAAAGCAGTCTCACAAAAACATAACCTACACAAAGACATGAATGGTGGTGTCCTTCTGAGATGATCCATCCCCGACTACAGAGGAGGCAGCTATTCCGGTGTAACTGCCAGGTAAAACATACAAAAGACTAAAACAATATTAGGGAATTATTCATAATCAGTTCTATGTTGTGCCTGGTTTCAGAGCTCTGTATCCAGGATTAAAGAGCTAACGCCTCTTCTCATCCCACTGAAAGACCTCTGGATCTTTGGCTAGCACGCATCCTATGGGACCTGTACAACAAAATTGCGCAGTAACTGGTTACATTAGGCTAGAACCCCCAATCCGCATCTCTAATCAGTCAGTCAAAACTTAAGTTTTTACCACCTCCGAAGAGGGAGAGGTGGGTAGCTCCTCAAGACAAAAAGTTGTCCTTTCAGAGAGAGGCCTCATCTTTTCATTTTCCATATTGGAAGAAAATATATAAACAACAAAACAACTCCAAAGTTCTTACGCTGCTACTCATTTGGACCACAGACATACCGAGAACCACTTAGAAACTGGTCCCAAAACCACGATGTGTGCAACATAGACAACTGCTATTTTACGTGTGTGTCTATTTACATACACATACACCCATATGAACATCTCTCTCCCTCTCGTGTGTATGTGAACATGACAACCAACATAAACAAGCGGGAGCACCGGCCGTGACCCACCCAGAGGAAGCACCGTTCTCCTCCACAGCTGTAGCAGCACTCTTCTGCCATTTCCTCTGCGCTGGATTTCCCCCCAAGTGCTTTTTCCTCTTTGTCCTACCCCAAAATTCTCAGCACTTCAGCGAGACAAAAAGGGCTGACACCAGCCAAACGCTTCGCTACATTATCTGTGCTTAAAAGCGGTACAGGCAGCTAAGACTTTTAATTGAATTTCAATGTTCCCCAAGCAGAAATGGATATATACGAAAGCAGCTTATTCCTTTCTACATTACTTTGGAGCAATTCTGTAATTTGTTCATCTGTGCAAATAGTCCTCACTCTGGCAGGAAAATTGAAAACACCTGAGTCAGCACCTGAGCTTATTCCTTTTCCATAGGTTAAGCTCAGTGCCTTTTTCTCTGAGTCAGTGCTTGCAATTAAAGTTGTTTGAAACAAAGCTCTTGCAGCAAACTATTTACGTCTTTAATTTTGGTTAGCAGTCACGTCAGAGATGTCTGCACCTCCATGAGAGCTGCCACCATCTCCTGGTTTGTAGAGATGCAATGGTTTTCTTCTGTGGCTGTGTGGCAGAAACCCCCTCCCTGCCTGCCTTCAGCCTGACCTGCCGCAGCAACCATCGCCGAGGTTATCAGGGGAACGCCTGAACCACACAGCGCCGCTGCTACGAGCTCTGGGGGCAGTTTAGGATGTGAAGGTGCTCCAAGACCCTTTCTCTAACTTGCGTGCACCACAAAGGGGTTGATGAGATACAAGCCAGGGAAGATGCCGGTATACAATAAACCATCAACATATGGAAAGTCTGGTGGCTGACCGAGATCCAGAACCACCACAGTCTTGCTGGGAATTTCCCATTCGAGAGATGCCATCACCAGAAATTAGCGCACGGAGAAAGCACTCGTACATGCCCGTGTGAGGTAGGTAAGTCAATGGACCTGCTCTCTTCCCATCTCTTAACTCTAGGGAAGGAAAACTATGCCCTAGTTCCAAACGCTGAAGACTTTACTACTTTGTGATTTGAAGACTAACAAACCAAATCAAAAAAGAAACCAAATCCCCCCAAATAGATAGGAGTTTTGGAAGGGATACAAATCCTTATGCCTGAGGGAACGCACTGATCGCTAACAGGAACGCACTACCTACTAACTTCGAAATTTCGGAAACTATCAGCAAACCACAGGCAACCGCAGCGACAGCTCATCGGGTCAGACAGACCTGGTCTGACCGCTGTTGCCAATGACACTATCCTACTCAAAGCTACAGGTGTGATACAATCCTTCTGGAATTTTCATCCAACAAAAGCTTTCATTATTGACTTAAATATTTATAATGTCCCACGAGATAGTTCATGTATTTTCTCTGCAAAGCATGACATTGTTTGTATTCACATTTTCGTACTGACTTTACTCTCAATCTCGTGCACGCATAAATGTTTGATGGCCAGGGACACGTGAGTAGCTTTAATCATGTTTGGACAAACCTCCTAATTACACATTTATCCTAGTTGTATAGACCGTTGAGTGAGCAACACATGTTTTAATGGGTCTAATTACAGCTTTAACGTCTTTCTCTCTTTTTAATTAGTTAACAAAAGGAATTAAGCCACAGTTCTCTAAAAGATTAGCCGTCAGTGATAAACCTATAATCTGCCAAATATGTGTACAACTCTGAACCACCAGATTTACTGTCTAAAGAATCATATGATCCTTAAGCTTCGGTTGTTAAGTATTTGCATTTGAATGCGGAGTAGCTTGCAAGGGTCGCATAAAACAAACTGAACCCACACTTCTTTCAGATTAGGGGGACACGACACGATGCGATCACGCAGATACAGCCAACTGAGTGCAAATTACTAGTACGGATGCACA